TTTATAGAGGGGGTTCTGAATATCTCTTTTTGTCACTCCATAAATAGGAAAAATACTGTCAATAGAAAGGAAAAAAATATCCCTCCACACTTTAGGAATAAAATGTGACCCTGGAGCACAAAAGCAGTGTTAAGTCGCTGGGCTATATTTGTAGCAATAGCCAAAAATACATTGTATGGGTCAAAATTATAGATTTTTCTTTTATGCCAAAAATCATTAGGATATTAAGTAAAGATCCGGTTCCATGAAGATATTTTGTAAATTTCCTACCATAAATATATAAAAACTTAATTTTTGATTATTAATATGCATTGCTAAGAACTTCATTTAGACAACTTCAAAGATGATTTTCTCAATATTTAGATTTTTTTTGCACCCTCAGATTCCAGATTTTCAAATAGTTGTATCTCGGCCAAATATTGGTATGCATCAATGGAAAGCTTATTTATTCAGCTTTCAGATTATGTGTAAATCTCAATTTCGAAAAAATTGACCCTTATGACTGGTTTTGTGGTCCAGGGTCACAAATGTTATATAAATCCGTGCAAATGATATATGAACAACCCCCTCAGTAAAAACCGTCAGAATACAGAGAGGAATAAAACGGCTAAGTTTGGTGTTTGTAAGTGCTGCTGAAGTGCAGAAAAAACTCTTTAAAGATATGAATTGCAATTCAAATCTACAGACGCAAATAGATAAAGTGTAATAAAATAAACATTTAAATTGGATGTTTTCTTTCCACTAGTCTGAAATAAGATGTTATGGAGGCAAAGTAGCCCAATTTCTAAAATTTGACCAGTGCATGAAAAATAATGGTTTTGATTTAAAATAACATGCACTGATAAATTGTTCACAATAAGAAGGAAACAGACTATTTTTATTTCATGTTGACTTTAAATTTGTTTCTGGACATTAAATGCTGGGTTATCTGTAACTTTCTCCGATTGAACGAGAGGAAGATGTGCGTTTTTCATGTATTTGGCCCCTGTCAATTGGGCCCTTGCCCTTAAATGGCATGTGTATGTGTTTGCACGTACATGTGCGTATACTTAAGGCCACTGGACAGTAGGGATGTCCATTAACCCTGCGGTCCGTCACTGCTGAAACAGCAGCGGCTAAATCCAGATCCACAGACTAAAGGGTCAGATTTGGGCCTGAGGGTCAGAGAAACTGAATCTGAAAACTTCCCCCGGACCGTCTCACACTCATACCTGTCTGTTATGCTCATGACCAAAAACACAATTCAATCAAGTAAGTGTGAGCTGAACATTCAAGAGAGACAGTTTCTCATTTTAACCAACTGGATGCATATTTCCTTAAAGGTGTGGATGGAATGCCTCTGGCTCGCTGCATCCTCAAACCCAGCAGGGTGTAGTTAAGGTTCCTTGGGAAGAGGTGGCCAATCCTGAATTTGAAGACGATCGGAGGATGGCCTCATCGTCTCAGTCAAACCAACAGGAGTCTTTGAGTTTGTGCCATCCACATACACCTACCCTTTCTAATTTCTCCGTCGAGACGAGGATTTTTCCTGCATGGGATGGTATAGCAGTGTCCTTGCGTTTTGAAGACAACAGCAGTAGTTACTCTGAAATGGATCCAGCTCAGTCTGGGATGCGACTGGTGGGATGGGTGTCTCCAAACTCATGGGACAGCAGATGTAAGAGCAGTTTGGTTAGCAATTGCAATGATCTAATGGGCCTTACCAGAGAAACCCAAGGATACTCACAGACTTGGGCTCAACCTCATACTCCTCTGCTGAGGTCCAGTGGTGCTACTCGGGACCGTACGACTTGCGTTCGCACCGTGAGGTTTGCAGAGGAACCCTGTACGCCGTGCATGCAGAGGAAACACGGACAAGGGACCAAAGCACAAAAATGTCGGTTCATGGAAGCACAGGAGAAACCTATTAAACCCATTAAACCCAAAGAACAATCTGAGCATCCAATTGAGCCGAGAAGCCTTCACAGACCTGCTCAGGAAAATCCAGCTTGTTGCAGCTCCTCAGAAACAGGTCCGTTAGGTAATTACTCCAGCAAAGGGCTGGATCAAACACAGAACATTTCTCAGGACAACATAGACTGTTTTACTCCAGCTGTGGTTGGGACGTCTGAGAAGTGCCACATTATTATCCAAGGAGAGACAAACGAGGCGGACAGGAGCAGCTACTTTGAAACGATTCCCAGGCTGCATGTGGTTTCAGGGAAGAAGACCATCGCTTTTGGACTTGTGTCTCCAAAGACACACAGGAGACAACTAGCGGCTCAAGGTTTGGATTATTTCGGATCAATCTACTGTATCTATCCATCAATCTATCTATCCGTTCATTTATCCATTCATCTATCCATCCTATATCTATCTTTCCAACCACTCATCCATCTTTACATCATCAACCCTTCCTATATGTCTATCTATCTTTCGATACATTCATCGATCCATCTGTCCATCTATCTGTCCATCCATCCATCCATCCATCTATCATCTATCCATCCATTCATCCATCCCTCCCTCCCTCCCTCCATCCATCTATCTTTCATCTAGTTATCTTTCCATTCATCCATCCATACATCCATACATCCATGCACTCATCCTATATGTCTAGCTGTCTTTCCATCCATCCCCTTTTCAAGACACTATCCCAAGAAAAAAGGAGGAAAACATCAATGTTAGAGCAAATATGTTCAATGTTTTATTTAAAGACAAATTCTTATGATCTTATGAATCTTATTAGAAGCAAAACAATATCTTTGATCATGTTTTAATGCATGTTGACTAATTCCTTTGAAGATCTCTCTCAGGACCCAAAAACTCTGTCCCCTCCTATTACTGGAATGCGGATAAATGTTTCAGATGCAACAGCGCAAGCTGAAACAGAGAGACCACCATCCAGATCATCCACACTTCCTCCACTTAAAGCCAATGGCATCCTTCACTCAGGAATGGTGTGTCTTACAGGTAAAAAAAACACACACAAATATATAATTTCCCAAACTAATACATGCATTTTTATGCTTTGAAACTGTAAACATTTGGTGTTGTAATTTGGTTGTAAAAATGTGTCAGCGAGGTAAAATTATCTACCTGTCTGACATACAGTAGATGAGTCAAAACTGCAAGAAAAAAATTATTTTCATTAAGAATGAGATCAGCAATGCTTAAATTTTAATTTGCAAAACTTAAATTTGATTAATATAATTTAATGCACAAATATACGCATAATAATGTATATATATATATATATATATATATAATTTTTAAATAATAAATCTACAATTAATTACATTTAAAATCAAACAATATTTAAATGTATATTTTTATTTTAAATATAACTAAAATAAATAAATAAAATATACATTTATGTTTTTATTTCAAATTATTTCAAATTAAACTAATGAACAAATTTAACAAAAATAAATGTATAATGTTTTTTTATTTTGAATTATGTATTTAAAATTAATTAATAAATACATTTAAATGTATATTCTTGAAATTATATATTTAAAATTAATAAGTGTACATTTGCATTTTGGTAAATGAATAAAATAAATTCACTATATAATATTTTGTGTTGGGGCCAGTGAGAATGTTAACTATTGGCCTAACCAAGCAAGCAGAAATAACGAGCCCATGTTGTGTTTTCTATTGAAATTCAATGTTTTATGCGCTGCAAAGCAAATGAAAACAGATGTTCCCAGACTGCAGTAATGAAAGCATTTGCCACTTACAGGACAGCACTGTGTCACGGTCTAATGTCTGTCTAACCTCATCTGCCTCCTCCAGGTGGTCAGGACCGTTCAGGTCGAGCAGTTCTGGAGATTTATGGAGATCATCAGGTCTGGGTTTCTGCAGCCATTTCAAGCCAGGAGATCTGCAAACTGCTGCTGTACTTTCACATCATCACCAGGTACTATACAAAACATCTGCCCTACAAACACACCATAGAGATGTTCACTGCTGAAAGACAGACTGATGTATCTTATTTTTAGGAAAGAAAAAGATCTAGGAATGACGGTGGTGTTTGATGCACGGAAGAAGCCGCCACATCTAGAGTTCGCCAAAGCTCTCCTTATGCTCCAGGTGTGTGTGTGTGTTTGGGTTAAAACTGTAGCTTGAAAACCTCTTTAGGCACTACATCTTGAGTGTTTGTCCACAGGGACACACTCCTCATGCTGTGCATTGGGTTCTGCTGCTGGTGAATAAGGACAACAGCCACAGTCATGAGAAAAGGCCCGGCGTTACGGTCAGAACTGTTTTTTCTTTTTTCTATAATTGCACACATACACCTGGCTTCAGTGGTTTTCTTTATTGTCGTGCATGTAAGCGTATTTCTAACAGACTTTGATCTTCTCAACCCTCTGCAGATGGAAACTGTGACGTCACTTAAGGCTCTGAATAAATTAGTGGACGTCAGTCAGCTGACTGCGGCTCTGCACGGATCCTTCCAGTACAATCACTGTGACTGGCTACAGATCCATCAGGTACATTCATGTGTAACCAATTTGATTTCCACCAGCAATATTAATAAAATATCAAAAATATAATATTATTGTTGTATTTTATTATTTGATAAATACTTTATATCATATTTTAAATTATATTCAATTATATATTTTTTAACTGATACAGTAATATTTATTATATTTTTTACATTTCTCATAATACATTTTTATATTATTATTATTATTATATTTTCAATTATAATATATTTCATACAGTATTATAATGTACACTATATAGCATCATATTTAAAAAATAATGTTATATTATACATTTACAACTATTATTATTACTACATTTACATTTTATTTTATAAATGTTACTTTATATTATCATATTCTCAATTACATTATATTTAATATACAAGATTATAATTGATCATATTATTTTACATTATATTTAAAAACAAACTATAATATTTATTAAAACAATATTGTTATATTATGTTTAATATTATATAAATAATACATTATTATATTATATTTTTAATTATCACTTTTATAAATATTACTTTATCAATTATGCTATTATATTTAATAACATATTACATTAAATTACATTATATTTAAAAAATAATGTAATTGGCATGGTATATTATTATTATTATAAACTTCTACTTGCAAGGATACATTATAATGGTTATTATTATTATTATTATTATTAATTTTTTTTATTAAATTCATATTTTCACTTTATAGTTCCTCTAACCTTGCATATCTGTATAAAGATGCAATATTTTGATGTTACAGAAACTCTATCCATTAGTGTCAGATCTTCAGGAGGCGTCCGCTCTGCTATCAGGAGCCATAAAGAAACTGGAAGGTGTCGACACGATGCAGGTAGTTACACATTTTTCTCTGCTCTTATTCGGTCTTCAACCAACTTCCTATCTCCAATTAAAATTATTCATACATAAAAAATGCCGTTCGTACTTAAAGATGATGCACAGACCTCTGTTGTGTGTGAATCAGGAAGCGCAGCAGTGCATTGAGGAGCAGGGAGCTTTAATGAAGGATGTGCTGGAAGACGCCCGATTGGTCGGTTTGCAAAGGGGAGGCGGAGCCATGCTGGCCAGGCTGAGGTGGGAAACTGAAGTGAGGTCACCAGACTGTGAATGGAGCCGGTAAATGCACACATTTAAGCCCACTTCAGCTTCAAACACGTTCTACTGAAGGTACCTGATGGAGATAATCATCTGTGTTTTCCCGCAGTGAGGTGATCGACACAGTCACACATCTCTACAACACCATGGAGGAGCAGGTGCACGTTCTGGCCAGGAAGTCCAATATGTCCCTGCAGCACCTGGACTTCCTGTTACAGCTCAGAGAGATGGAGTCCAGGTTTGCAAAGGTATAATCACACCTGTAAATGAAAGACAAACAAAAAAAAGTTTAAAATTGGTTTTGCTTAAAATAGGTTTTACTTGTACTTTAAAGACGAAACGTCTGGGGCTTGTAAAAAAAAAAGTAGTTTTTGAAAGAAGTCTCTTCTGCTCACCAACGCTGCATTTATTTGACCAAAAATACAGCAAAAACAGGAATATTGTGAAATATTATTACAAATTAAAATAGCTGTTTTCTATGTGAATAGATTGTAAACTGTAATTTATTTCTGTGATGCGCAGCTGTATTTTCAGCATCATTCCTCCAGTCTTCAGTGTCACATGATCTTCAGAAATCAGTCTAATATGCTGCTTTGCTGCTCAAGAAACATTTTTGCTTCGTATTTTTGTGGAAACCATGATACATGTTTTTTTAGGATTCTTTGAAAAATAGAAAGTTCAAAAGAATAGCGTTTATTTATTAAAGAAAACTTTTGTAACATAAATATCTTTCCTGTCACTTTTCATCAATTTATTATAGTATTACAGTATAACATTATTATATAAATATTTATACATTATTATTATTTTAATACATACTGTATAAAATATTTATAAATAATTACAATTATATTCAATGATATATTATAATTGATACTATATTAAATGTTATTATATTAAAAAAATAATAATGTAATATATAATATTATATATTTATTATTATATAAACATTACTATTGTTGCTTATTGTTCTTTCCAACATTAAAAATGTCCTTACTGTCACTTTTGATCAATTTAATGAGTCCTTGCTGAATAAAAGCATTAATTTCTAACAATAAATAAATCAATAAAACAGCAGTGCACACTGGTCTTCTGCATTCAGATGCACTGCATTCAGAAAGCGTTTCTGTCTGTAGATTAAGGACTGGTTCGACACAGAAGGAGAAACGCAGCTCCTGCAGGCTGAATCTGTGGACGACTGCAGTGAACGAATCCAGCAGATGCTGCAGAGTTTCAAAGCTTTTCTCTCTGAAGCAAACGTAAGTGAAAGTGTAGAATCTTTATGGTACGCCGCTACAGAAGTGACTTCAAAAATGTAAAGATTAAACCTCAACTTTGCCATCAAAATCAATAAGAGGTTCAAATCTGTGGTGTTTAATCTTGAAACGTGTTTCTGGTTAAACATCAGGAGCGAAAGCATCAGGCGATGATGCTGGTGTCTGACGTGGAGAGCGTTCAGGGGCCAAACTATCCCGAGACGGAGGTGTTTCACAGGATGGTGTCCGTGTTTAAATCCAGTCTGGCTGACTCTGTGTCACGGGCCGAGCGCTGCTGTGAAGAGCTGGGGATGATGGTGTACATCTGTCACTTCTGTGAGAGGGTATGGAAGCCTCTTTCATAATAATAATTAGCAGAAAATTGGGAACCAGTGGCTCAGAAATGATTCTCTTCCAGGTTTAAAGACTGCAAACCGAACAACTCTGTAGTCCTCCTAATTTAGTGAAAATCGTGAGATTATGTTGCCACCTAGTGAAGTGTTATACGCTATAACTAGTCAAAAAGTAATTTGCCTTCCTTCAGTACCGTATTGGCCCGAATATAAGACGACCCTGATTATAAGACGACCTCCCTTTTTCCAGATGTACCTTTTGGAAAAAGGCTTTTTAAAAACCAAATCTTGTTTTTTCTCAGTAAAACACATTTTGTCTTCAATTATTTTCATATTGCATATTTTTCCTATTTTAATTTTTGTTTTGAAAGTATGGTAAAAACTGGTAAAATGTACCAACAATCACATTAAAAAAATATACACTTTTTGATATACCATTAAAAAAACAAAAAAAACAGGTAGCCCATCTGAATTAGGACATTTAGGCTATCTATCTAATAGTAGCCTACCAAAATCTTATTAACAGTAGAAGTTAAATCTTACTGTAGTCTTCAAATCTGGGTACTGTCTTACGTTTTAAAATCACAAAG